GCGACAAAAACTTTTATTTAAAATATCATGTCTATGTCATGTCTTTGTCATCATATTCAAAATCATAGTAAAGTAATAACTTAGCTAGAGGTAATAAGAACCGAACGTCCTCAAACTTCATGTATATTTTAGTAATATTTCAAACGACAAAAAACTTTTGACGCAAATCATTTGTCACTTCCCGTAATCAGASTTCCAATTACCTTAGGTTAGATTGACATATTTATCTGTTTTCTAACTAGAGTACATCTAAAGTTCATTCTGATGAGGTAGTGTTATATCACCTGTTCGTGGATAAAGGTTAATTAAAAACTATTTTTTGCAAAATACAGTCAACTCAGTGGGAAATTCCAAACAGATGCTTAAAAAAACAGTGAATTTACTTGTTGTTACTGTGGTGTTTGCTGTTTGCCTACTGTTGGATGTCTTATTTTTTAAAAGCTATGACTAAGCACACTGTCAAAACGYTAGTCTACTTCGTTATGTAAGAGAAAAAGAATGTTTATTTATACTGCACACAACATTAGTGCCAAAAAGTTCCGATATTTCTGTTGTCACTTTGTTTTTATACCAATGTATTCCCTTTCTTRCATTTCGTTCCACTAGACAACCTTTTTAAAAGTCCTTTGTACTGTTCATAATTTGTTTACCCCCCATCGCTTTATAATTTACTAGTTCAAAGCAGATTTCCGGCTGTTGTCCGGTCGTGTTTGCTCCTCCTGAATCGACTTCCATCTTGATGAATAACAACTGTTCTTTAGCATTTTTTCCTAATAAAGATGTCCCTGCCCTTCTTGGTAAACGGAAACTCGTCATAACATAGYTATCTCGAGCGACGTGAGTTGTTGCATTTTATCATTCTTAATATCAAAGCTTTTTCGGTGTTTGTCTTCATTTGTAAACGGGAAAAATTAAGTCAAACAATGCCTTTTATCGCTAATGAATTGTAAATTAAACACTTAAACAACTTAATATTAATGAGCTCGAAGAAAAAGGTAGTTCAATTGTAAATTCTAGTCTTAGTTTGTTATGGCTTTTTTTCTCTATAAAGAACTCATTTTCCGATCATTTTACTAGAAGGCTAGTTTGCGACATTGTAACGACACTCATACACGCGAGTGTATGTGCAAAACACACTACGTAGTGACCTGAGGCTACTTTCATAACTCCGCAAAATTCGACTACGTGTGACAAAGTAGAATTAATTTTTTACGCGTACTATTGAAATGCTGTAAAAATATTTTTTTTAACTCTCAATATAACGGATTGAGGAATTATAACACCCTGTTTTCACACTTGATCCTCACTCCTAGCTATCAACTTCTTATCCTACATACATCCGGTCTATTCTCTACGAGTAAACGCTGGATGAAACTCAGGCGAAAACTCACTCCAAACTGCCTTCAGGAAAACATAGGTGATAAAATTCTGTCATGATTTTTTGACAATATTTCCTCGATTACTAAAAGGAACAAGCGATTTTAAACTGTAACTTCTAAATTTATAAATATGCTCCAGATACTGTAGTAAACTGCGCTTTGTACTTTTATATATTTATACTACAGACCCGACTACAGAGAGCCGGTTTTAATGCAACTGAAACTTTAGAAGAACAATTGACAGGCAGTCATGCAAATACACACTCCGATAAACGCACATATACGGAAAAATCAGATTCCGTAAACTTTGAAGTTCTCGTCAAAATAAATGGCTGACAGAGCGTCCAATATATATTGATCGTATATTAATCGTGTATTGATAGTGGTTCTCGTCCACATATGTCCACTTCGTAGCGTTGTTATCGTTCAAAATTGACTTATATCGCCGGGTTTTTTTGTGCGAAAAATTAAAATCTAAAAATAGCGTGAAATGTTGTACAACGGTTTAGTATCCCTAATTACGAGCTGCCAAGTACCGTTGGGTTTTAAGTTGAATTTTTTTTATCATAATCATGGAGGAATAGTACAAGATTGGAGATTTGATCGGCTATGAAAAGATCCATCCAACACACAGCTTATTAACTGTCAAACTCTCACAATACTTTATAGGTATATAATACTCGTACATACCTTCTTATTAAAGTCAATAAGACATTGCAACTACTATCAACACAAAACCCGAAAACAACTTACCAACGCAAGGGTCGATGTTTTCCACGGTTATCAATATAGTTAGCAGTAGTTTAAATACAACCTTCATCATTGATTGCTATGTCTGATCATGCAGTTTCAGCGCCTGATTCTTATGACTTAAATTTGTTCAGATCGTGTCAGCTATTCAGTTAATCTGTGGGTAATCAAGGCAATGACGCAGCTACAGACGTAGTCAACTCCCAGGTTTGCAAACAGATGGCATTACTTAAGGGCATTCATTCGCTTTGAAGTCTCATGGAAAGTCAAATTTTGGCTACGAGCCGATTCTCAGAATCAGTAATGTTCTGCAATGCAGCAATGTTTTGCAATAAGTACGTGTTTTTATTGTAAATTGACAGCTGTCAATTAGTCGATGAATTGTTTCCTGTAGTGATTATGACGTCTTGTGTAATCCGATCTCTTCAGAGAGAAAGTAAAAGTTTAGTGTTTACTGACCGGAAGGTCAATCTTCAGCCTCTCAATGGTATTCAAAAGGGAAACTGTCTATTTTATATTTTTCTTGTTGCTGTTTTTTCTCTCTCGATTTAAAAAAAATGCTTTTATGAATTTCTGACCTCTTCTGCGTCATTTTAATCGTTTGAAAGTTAGCAGCTGTTTTTCTTCATTTCTGAACAGACTGCTGAATTCAAATGCATTGAAACTTTCATTCGAATATTAATGATCCCATTCATTTTCACATCCATCCTTCCCTCCACCCTGTTCCATTTATTCATTTCCTCAACGATATTCAGATCTTTATCCATCTCATAATTTAATTCAAAAGTCATAAAAAAACACAAGGGTGGGACCGAAAGGTATTGTTGGTAATGTGGGTAATTAACATTGTCACGTGATATTGTATATTCGGTAGTAGATTTGAGTAAAACCAATGAAAACGGGTGTATCTACATCCCATGAAACTTTCTGGTTTTAACTTCATCTTTAGTCAGTGACAACCTAACTTGAAATAAGTGAAATTATTCATCCTGCTCTTATTCATACATTAAATTCACGCCATTTATTTACATGTGCAAAGGTAATTTATTTTAGCTAATATAAAAAGGTAGAGTACAAACACTAAAACTGTGCAACATAAATACCACTAAATGCTGCTAAATTATGCTAATTCTATTGTTTTCTATTGTTTAATTAACACTATTTTGTAGTAAATAGTGGAAAGTGTTGCACACATTTAACTCTATCAATTACAAAATGTTTTCAGTTTTAAAATGTTGTATCTCACATGTGCTGAAGTACATATTCCAGTCTTTTGCTTTTTGTCGTTATCATCTCGATTTGCATTGACTTCAGTACATATAACAATCGACGTTTGATCGTGGACTAAGTCACAATTTTGTTACTACATCACGTTATAGTTGACGCATTAAATCCGTGAAATTGTATTGTACTGTTTTTTCTGTATTATTTTGTGAAATTTAGTAAATACTGATTATATTTTCCGCGTTATTACGTTATTAAAATGACTCGATTTAGATTATTTCTTAGATATACAACGGCGATCAAGAGTTTATAAGACTGACAGAAAGAAAAAGATCTTTTTTTTTCAAAGTTAAGAATAGTTTGTTTCTATGATTACTTATTATGATTACTTATTATTATTATTATGATTGCTTATAAAATATCATCGCAAAACCCCACGCATGGGGTGGTATTAACCACCCCATTGTTCGCATTTAAGGAAATCCAATTCCATCTGGGGGGAAACAATGGATTCTAAATCCCAAGAGATGACCCCCCAGATAAAGCTACCGTGGCATAGATTTAGGAGGGGGGGGGGGGGAGTCTCGTGCATTTGGCTCGCCGTCATGTAATCTTGACAATGCTTTAACATATTGGGCCAAAACAGAATACAAAACGATAAAATAAAGAAAAAAAAGAAGATTCGTGTCCGAATTAGACGGAGCATCACATACAACGCGTGTAAGTTATCTCTTGCAACATGGCTACAACTGTAGTAGCTGGATTCAAAATGCGGATAGTTTAGTAACMCAACGAATGTTGTAGCCATGTCGTAAGACGTGTTGCATGCGATGGYTTTAGGCAAAAGTTATTCCGTCTAATTCTGCCTTTTCAAATAATTGCCCTATGGTGCAATTACGTCACAGTATTAACAATTTTCATTGTGGATAGATACTCAGAAAAACTCGAAATTTGGACCTATTAACATTCTTTTCGAAAGTATAAGTTTAGTGTATCGAGTTGTGATGTATATAATTTATCAATGATTTTCATTTAATTTGATATGCCATCACTTTGATCCCCTCTGGCGACCATAATCCTTAGAGTTAAAATAGTAGAATGTTTTGGTGTGACGTAATTGTGCGATAGGGCAATACACCTTTTCAGTTGCTCTTAGACCTCGACAATATGTTGAATATTGTTTTGAATTTGTAGGAATGTGAGCAATGCACACATTGATATGAAAGTCGGGGGCTTCCCTCTTCAAAGATAACTCTGACTTCGCATTCAAGTGAGGCGACTGGTAATGGATACCCTCTTCCATTGGACAACACAGCTGTCATTGTAAGTTATCCACGTCTCACTTTGATGCAAAGGCGCGGTTACCTTTCAAGATGGCGCAGGGAMCCGTGAAGGAGCCTATTGTTAGAGAGCCATTTAGAATATAGTATTAGTAATGACTCGTTGGTGAATTTAGAAATCAATAGGTGTGACGCACTTTGGCGTTGATTTGTAATTCATTTCGATATTTACGGAAGACGCTCGGCTATGGCTCTCAAAATGTATTTGCAAGCTCTCATTGTTGACCAAATAATTTTCGATTTGGCTGATCTCCTTATTCGTCTCGACATTGTTGACTTCAGGTTCTGATTTTGATTTCGATGGCGACTGTTGTATCTTCCAACGCTTTAACTTACGACGAAATAAACCTCGGATTTCACTGTTTCGCASACAATGGAGAAGAAAGATAAAGAAACCCTAAAAACGAAAATAATTTATCTTACTATTACGTAATACGGAATGGTATGCATAATTATTCCAAGGTTGATGATTATTACGACAGACAATAGATGCTAAGGTAGTGTATGCAGGGTTCGTGCTATTCCTTAAAGTCCTTGAAAACTCCTGGAATTGAAAACTCGTTTTCAAGGGCGCTTGAAAGCCCTTAAAAATGGGGAAAATAGCTAACTCCTGGAAAACTCCTTGAATCTGATAAAATTGGCATGTTGCTTGTTAGCTTTTGGATTGAAATGTGGCTATTTTTGAAAATCACCACTTGAAACGTCTGAAAACATTAAAAAATAAATATCTTGCAAAATACTCCTTGAAAATCGCAATTTTGTGCTTAAAAAGTACTTGAAAAGTCCTGTAATTTTGTAGTGAAAATGTTGCACGAATTAATGGAACAATTAATGGAACACTGTGTGACTTATTATTTGGCTGTTGTTTCAGCTGAGATTTGTTCTCTTCAATTACCGATAATTTTTTGTGAAACGAGGAATTATTTGAATAACAAGAAAGTGCTTGACCGCATGAATATTTTCTATTAAAATAGAAGACACATTTACCTGGAATGAGTTGAGTATGGTAAAAATGTACTGGAAAACAATTCCAGCATTGGTGACAGAGAGCAGACCGAATAACCATGTCAGACCGAGTAAGGGTGATAGAACTACACATGACTTTACTCCTTTCCTGCATATAACAATAAGATAAAGATCTCTTTATTACTGTAAGTTTTAAACAACTAAAAAATACGAGCTAAAAGCAGTCCATAGCTTCCCGAGCAAAATCTTAACTTAATGTTAAAAAAATCAGCTAAAGAAAAATTGAGCCAAACAACATTTTATTGTTACATCGCATTCCTGTAGATAGCTACTTGACTACTGTTATTCTACTAACCTTAAATTATCCATGTCACTGTGCTTGGCTTGATTGAGTTTTGTTATCTCACGCACCGTGAAAATTAAGATTATGAAGTTTACCTGTTGAATTTCAAGGAATTCGACCTTTAAGTACATCGCAATGAACCCGTTACAATTCTCTCTGTCAACACGTTTTACTCACCAACGAAATAAGAATAACTGGTCCAGCGAACGCCCAAATCAAACCATTTGAGAATGATACCCAACAGCTTAAATAAAGAAAACGTAAACATTTACGTAAGAATAGTTACGTATATTCACGTAGGTACAAATCAAACCATTTTAGAGCTATACCAGCAGCTTAAATAAAGAAAACGTAAACATTTACGTAAGWAYAGTTRCRTATATTCACGTAGGTAAACATATCAAACCATTTGAGAATGACACACAGCAGCTTAAATAAAGAAAACGTAAACATTTACGTAAGAATAGTAACGTATATTCACGTAGGTGCATTTACGTGCTTTATTCAATAGCTTTATTCAATAATAATATTGGCATCATTCTAGAAGACTTACAAGTTTTCGTTAGTATAACTGTTGATGCCATCTTTCAATTTGGATGCAACTACGAATGATATCCCAACAGCAAGTAACGGGAAACCTGGTCATGAATTAAAGTGATGTAAATGAAAGCTGTTGATTTATAAGATCATCATCATGTGCACCAAAAACCAAAAACCAAAAACCAAAAACGAAAAAATAAATAAATAAATAGATAAAAATATATGAAAATATGTTATGAAGAATCCGAAAAGGACAAGAAAAATATCGTTCTGGAGGTAAAARGTKAWAAAGATGAAACAACAGAAAAATATGAGAAACTGAAGACCAACCTCGCCCTTAAGACCTTCATGTCTTCGTTTAGGGCGAACCTTGAGGACCTGCATGGTTAAGAGGTTGGGTGGAGACGAGGAAGATTAAGAACGGAATACGGAAAGAGGCAGGAGGGGAACAAGGTGATAAGTGGCGAAGATGAAGCGATGAMCAGCCTGATTAAGAAGCAAAARYGAAGATATATGTGAAAAGGACGTGGAAGCTAGTTTATAGAGCAAGAACAGGAAAAACGATGGAAAAGTAGAGACGAGAAGCCAAGCTTAATAAAGATCTAAAGCAAGAATAATGAAAAATGGAAACGTAAGAAGAGAAGGTGGGTGGCTAGAGAGGCGTGGAGAAGAAGCCATTCGAAATGAATGCGGAACAATAACATTGAAAAGGTAGAAAAATTAATACCGGTGCATAATRGCGACTAGAGCTAGAATCAGCGKAGGAGAATAGTAGCAAACAGCAGTCATATTGAAAGCTGCATGTTAGTTTTCAGGTGATATCATGGTGGATGGCTCTATTAGTGGTTCGTTGACAAAAGATTACCCATTAGTATATCTTACCCCAAGCA